CCATCTGAGCAGGGCAAAGGATTCACATTTCTCCCCAGCTGCTCAGAGTTCATAAGGCAAGTCACAAAACTGGGGCAACAAGTTCCACTACAAATCGCATTAGCTAAACCCAAGCGTGTTCTGCCAAAAGCTCAGCAGGCATTCCTTCTGCGTTGCCATCTTCGCCCCAGACCTGCTCAGCTCTCCTCAAGCTCAGAACACACCCTCTCCTGACGCTCCCTTCCCTCGCCCTTGGCCAGGACCTGGGCATGAGCACCTCGGCCTCCTCTCTCCCCCGTTCTCTGCACTTCATGCCTTCTCCCCAACACGAAGCCACTTCGCAGTGAGCAGTCCCTTGCCAGCCAGTCCCAAGTCCTTACTCTACCAGATATCTTTTCTCCCCGTCACATTAGAGCAAAGAAAAGAGCAAAGAAATGTTGTTCTTTTCTGTTTCTGGGCACCTGTGTCCTTTCCATCAGGGCACAGGAATCCTCTGAGTCAGGAGCAAAAAACAAAACAAAAACACAAAGCTTTACCACCAAACTTACTGAAAGTTTAATTTCTGTTCACAGCCTCTACTTCTTGACCTCCTACTATGACTCCTTAATCTCTTGCCATGGCTTTGTTCCTACTCTACTAAGACTGCCCCCTCCAAGGCCATAGTGACCTCTTAATAATCACTACATTCAGTGGCCCCTTCTCGGGCCTCACTTTTCTTGACCCCTCTTGGATCTTCCCCACCTGTCTCCTTAAAATTTCTTTTGCCTTGAAATTCAAAGACACTACACTCTCCTGTTTTCTTCCCTCAGGCCATTTTTTTTCTGTGACAATCTTTTCTGGCATTCTCTCCTTCTTCCCCAAATCTAAGATGACCCCCAAGAGCGCACCTTGGCACCCCTGTCCTCTCTGGGCAAGCTCATCTGTTTCCCCAACTATTCAGTCTACAGAATAACTCCCGAACCTTTGCCTCCAGCTCTTCACCTGACTTCCAACCTGCACTTCCAATGACCTACTAGGCCTGTCCCTCTGGACGTCCCAGCAGCACCTCAGATTCAGTAGGTTTGTGTTTTTCATCGTGTTCCTTCCTTTCCGCTTCCTTTGTTTATTGTTCTTGCGAAGGCACCACCTGCTCAGAAGCTTGGCAGCGGCCTGACCAATCTCACCCTTGTCCCTCATAACCAAAACAATAGTTCTGTAACATCTCTAATCCTTTCCCTCACCTCCCTGGTTTAGGCTCTCATCACCTCCTATCCAGGTGGTTGGCAATAGCTGACCAACGGCTCCCCACATCCAGTCTCTCACCTGTGGCCTCCGTGACATTAGCCACATGGCATCATCCGTCTGAACTGCCTTCTTCCCTCTCAGTCCCACCTTCCTTTGCCTTTCAGGAAAATTTCTGAAGATTCATACAATATGACCTCCTCCAAGAAGTCTCCCTTGAATGCCCTACCTGAATACCCATCTTACTGGAGCTGTACTTATCGCAGCACTTAACACTTTTATTTTGCAGTCCATATACAATATTTATTTTCTTATTTACCCTACTAGACTGTCAGCTCCTTGAAAGGATACAGACCTAATTTACTATATTTTTGATGCATGGATCAATGATATCAGGAATGTGCCTGTTCTGGGTATAAATAAATTAACATGTACAGTACGGCAGGAGTCTAGAGATACCAAAATTCTGAAGTAGTCTATTTTTTTTCACTGGTGGGGTCTGTGTAAACATACATCCTGCTCTCTGGTAACTCCTAGGGAATCGGGGCAATGGTTGCTTCCTGGGGACCCAAGGCCTCGAGAAAAGCTACTTTCTATTTAAAAAGTGTCACCGATAAAGGGTAAAAATAGTCGTATTGATTTCAGTATAAATGCCAATGGGATCTCTTTCCTCTTCTTTAGGACATGCACATCCACTGACCCAGGGGAACCTCTGCAGTCCCAGGGTCAAGCTGCATCGCACAGGCCAAGAAGCAGCCCTTCAGGAATCTAGCTACAGGCATTGATAAGCTCAGATGAAACATCAGATGAAACATCGAGAGATTCATCCAGGTAACAAAGGCAACTCTGGCTCTTCCAAAACACCAAACAAAGAACAGAAACAAGCCTTACAAAAACATACACCATCCTGACATTTATCAAAGGGCAAGTCCTGCTGCCGCCACTGCCCAGCCCCTCCCGAGGGAGCAGCAGAGGCTCCCCCATCCCTGTTGCTGTTGGCGCCTGTCAGGTCCTCCTGGAGCCTCCTGCCAGCCTCTGCACCACAGCCCATGTGAATCTAACCCGTTTCCTGCTCTTACTCTCACACGTTTCTCAATTGTTTCCATGATAAGGCAGTTCCTCTTCCCACACTTTATCTTTTCCAGGATAGATCTGTATTTTGAGTTGCCTTTTGTGTCCTGCCGCCAAGGCATGTTAAGAACCTCGGCTTTATGGTCCATTTTCCACTGACATGCCACTATCTGAGGCCGGGGCTGCTGCTTAAGTGGACTGTGCTGCACAGATCCAATCAGATTACACCTCACCGTATCACTGATAGCACTTGAAGCTTTCCAGGGCAGAGACCAAAACGCACAGGAGAGTTCAAAAATGTCATTCCATCCCTTCAGTGGCTTGACAATTAACCTCGAACCAAAGAAGGGAGAGATGATGTGTAAACTTCAAAATATGTCAAAACCCATTGGAAAATGAACAGGCTTCTCTGCAGTTTCCAATCAAAGAAAACAAGGGAAAATGCAGGCCATTCAGAATCAGCACTTTCAAAACCTAGGTTAGCTGCACAAAGGAAAGCAGCCAGGAGATGAAAACCCAGTGTGTATATACATGGGTGTGCAGGTGTGGGAGGCTATAAAAGTTGACTGTGTGTGGTACTTACTACATAATAAGACTTGTGCCAAACACTTGCAAATGAAAGCAAAGAAACATGACCAAAACCTAAAAAGACAAGTTGAGAAGAAAAGGAAGTCCGCTCTGGACTGGCAGCAGCAAGTGGCTGTCCAGACAACAGGTGCGCTAAGACACACACCAGAATGTGCAAAGCAGCAACTTACCTGCCCACAGAACACTCTATTTCACACACCACCTATTCACAGGTATTCGTATCAAAATGAGAAAAATACTGATCTCGACCCTCTTCTGCATTAATCCTCCCCAGGGGTTCTATCTGGTCCCTATCTCTGGCCCATGCTCAATTAAATGGTAAGTATAAGATTTTACATCAAAACTATAGCTGACAAGAGAATTGTGCAATTTTTTTTCCAGACGGATGGCCCATAAAGTGTAACGGGGATGGTGAAAAACATGATTTTTTTAAGTTGTTTTATTAAAATTCCTATAATATTCAGTAATACCATTTCTGAGAACAGTCTATCCCCAGATCAATACAATTTCATAACCAGCATATTTTACTGAGACTTAAAGGACTTGCAAGTTGGCAAACGCCAGGGATAAAACACAAGGCTGCTGGAGTGAGGCCCAGCACTGCAGCCCCATCAAAGATGATGGTCAGCAATTAGAAAGTCCACTGTCGTGGCACTCAGAAAGATGTTGCATGTTTACCCATCTCCCCCAGAATGGAGGAAACATATTTTTGGACAAAGAAGTGGCTGAAAATTTGTTCCATAATCATTTTTGTAACTTGAGCTAAAAACAAAAATTTAGAACCATTAGTCGTTTAAGAATTAAAAAGTCATCCTATTACTGGTCAATTGTATGGCTTATCTAAAGAAAACAGGATTATTTTCCATTCTTTCTGTCTTCCTTCCTTCTTTCCTTTCTTCCTTTAAAAAACAAACAAACTATTGTATTCTTTCTTAATGTAACTTAACTGGTTCCATATAGGGACCCAATGTTATTTAACAAAATGTGAAGTAGTATTAGAAGACATTTCATGAAAATTCTTGTGCATTGGGCATCTCACAAAATATAGGGCCCTCAGCCTTTTTCAAACATTCAAAAGCATGACGTGTTTAATGTTCATTGTGTTTAAGAGTTTGTTCTAAGCCAAATGTCATGGAAAACTTGGGCACAACTGGAATCTGTTATCAGATTCCCCAGGGCACTTCTTATTAAGAAATGAAGAATAAATTGAAAGTGACAAGAAGATGGAGTCTATGTTATAAGTGATAGAGAAACCATAGATCATGTTTTAAATGTCACTGACAAGCCAAAAGAAGCTGATTTAAAACAGCAAGGGTGATTTTCCAGAGGGAGAGAGCCCCACTTTGGCATTCGGAAGTTAACTGTGCCCTAACTCATCTTGCAGAAGGACAGCAGATGATATAGTTACCATTACAGAAAAGAGGCAACCAGGCGCCAGCAACATCAGGAACATTTTTAAGAAAAGATGTGCTCTGTTTCCTTTTCCTGTTCTCTCATTATCAGCTCTGCCTGAAAACATAGCACCAAAACTCAGGCTCATGTCCTCATCGGGTTACCACTACAAACACGTCAATAAACTATTCAATTCAATTATGTTCATTGATATAAGCACAGTCTACTGTGTTTAAAGAAGCAAAGAAGCATATAATTCATTCAAGAAATATTCTCTTTTTTTAAATGGTGACATTTTAAGATAATGTCAATACTGAAATTTATTTATTTGCTTTGTTGCTTGGCATGAAATGGGGGAAGATGCAGGCAATACGTTATGGAATTAGCTGGGTACAGGAAAGAGATAGATACACAAATAGAGCAAGGTCAAATGTGCTAAAATAAAGAATTTAAAAGGACAAGGTATCCGGGGAAAGGGCAAATAACAATTATAGGTTTCGGTTCTTGGGAAAATTCAGCAACTTAAGGAACTTCCCAATAGCTACATCAGGAACATTTTTAAGAAAAGATGTGCTCTTTCCCTTTTATAATCAATGAAGAGTCCACACATGTAATACATTAAAGCCTTACCTTCTATTTAAATTTGTTTGCAAAGCTACATTTTTATTGAAAGCCATACACTGTTCAGTGACATCATTTCTGGGAAATTATCCTTAAGATATTTTTCTAAAACATACAAGGATACACATAAAAAATGTTCACCATATTTTTTCATAATTAAAAAAATTTTTTAAATATAAGAGAATGATTAAATATATTGTGGTTTATCTCCTTAAAAATGAAATATAGCCTGGCCGGGCGTGGCTCAACTTGGGTTGAACGTAAACCTAGGATCAAGGAGATCACGGTTCGATTCCCTGTCAGGGCACATGCCCAGGCTGCAGGCTTGATCCCCAGTCGGAGGCGTGCAGGAGGCAGCCGATCAATGACTCTCTCATCACTGATGTTTCTATTTCTCTCTCTCCCTCTCCTTTCTTCTCTCTGAAATCAATAAAGATATATTTTTTAAAATAAAAAGTGAAATATAAAGACCATAAGATATAATAAGAAAAAATGTTCCTGACACTTTTTTTTTTAATCCTCACCTGAGGATATTTTTTCCATTACTTTCCAGAGAAAATGGAAGGGACAGAGGGAAGGGGAAAGAGAGAGAGAAACATCGATGTGAGAGACACATCAACTGGTATCCTCCTGCATGTGCCCTGATCAGGGCAGGAGATCGAGCCTGCAACCGAGGAACGTGCCCTAGGCCGGAATCAAACCCAAGACCCTCCAGTCCTCGGGTTGTTGCTCCAACCTCTGAGCCAAACCGGCTAAGGCTGACATTCACTTTTAAAAGCAGATACCAAAACTGTAGGGATATTGTAAATGTCCCTACATTATAGGCAGGTAGATGAAACCCATCAATGGGTAGGGGGGCAAACAGAAAATGTAGAAATAAAAATCCTTGTTAAGATATTAGGAAAATAAGTTTTTCTACCCACCCATCCCCCATTTTAAAATTTAATTTTGTGGTTTTAATAATAGTGATAAATGCACACATTCTCAAAGCTGAATTCTAATGTCCCTTGTCTTTCTAACTCTGAGCCCTGAGAAGAAGGCAGAGCCATGAGAAGCAGTATAATACCGTGAACATGGTGGTTTTTAAGAAATCCTTGGATAAAAAGAGAAATACCAGGTGGTAAGAAAGAGGCCTAACGCCGAGAGAGATGGTCACGCGGGGAGAAGAGAACTGATTCCCCTCCACTAGGCATGTGAGAAATGAATTCGTGAGAACTGTGCTGCGTGGCCACAGCACTCAGCTCTCTGCCAAGTCATGGGGAAGAGGGAGGCTAAGTTCTAAAGGGCAGGAACTAAATCCTTCCTGGGGAACTACTTCAAAACTAAACAAGGAAAGGGGTGAGAAAACAATTGACAGCAGAGACTTAACAAGGAACTTCAGGGACTTATGAGCCAGCAGCTTTTAACCCAAAGAAAGAGACAAAGAAGAGACTCAGCCCTCAGGGGAAAAGCAGTAGAAAATAAAAGTTCAGTACTAACAAAGTTCCTTTCTTTTTTTTTTGTTTTGTTTTGTTGGGGTTTTTTTGCTTTGTTCTAAGTTGTGTAACATTTATTTTGGGGGCTGTGCCTACAAAACAAAGCTTATATGGAAATAAATTTCAAAACTATGCCAAAAATACAGGTAGTGATAATATTATAGCAAATATCAAAACATCTAAATGGGCATAGAGATAAAACTTTTGTATTTTTGTGACCCTCAATTAGACTCATTCCAAACAAAAAAAGGAAACGTTCCAAATCTATTCTTGCTCTCTGATCACATTATATGTGTGTATCTAACACCTCATCAGGATGGTAATCTAATCCAGGGAAAAAATAATTGTCTTTGTAAAACCCCATAATCATTAACAAATGCTAAGCAGAAGAAAGAGTCAACCTTATCCACTGACTCACAGATTGATAAGAGCTAAATATTTAATAGGGGATATACTAATATTGGAAGAGGCCAGATGGGCAGCCTGTGTACATAGCAAATAGTCATTCATTCATTCATTCATTCATTCATTCGTTCCCTTACTCACTCATAATGCATCTAGTCAGCCAACCACCAAATAGTTACTGAATGATATATGTCCCAACCATTGAAATAGCTGCTGCAGATAAAATCCTAAACCATCACCACACCTGCCCTCCTGGAGCTTACAGTCTTGTGGGGCCTTAAACAAATAAAAGCTTAACCTATAATAAGTGCTGTATGAGCACCAATGTCTTTTCAATGCTTTCCCATCAATAGCATTATTTACAAAGTATTTTTGCCCAAAGTTCAGCCTAAACCTATTAGTGTAGAGATCTAAATACAAATTTAGTAAAATACAGGGGATAGTGGAACAGGTTAATGGAGATCATAAGAAAATAACCAGACAAATCAGCAGGGCATTGGTCTAGTCTGTTCAGAAGATAAATGGAATGGGAGGAGAAAAGCAGGGAGTAGGGAATGGGCTATACTAGGATAAATGAAAACTCAGATAACAGTGAAAGCAATGTGGGATTCTTGATTGGATCCTGGCAGGGAGGTGGGGGCAATACAACCATAAAATATACCTGGGGGACAACTGGAAAATTTTGAACAAGGGTCCAGGTATTAGAATTCATGTTATATTATATATATTACAGGAATTATTAATTTTTTAGGTGTGATAACAGTATTCTGGTTGTAAGAAAATTCCCTAATTTTTCAAAGATGCATGCTTAAGTATTAAGGAGTGAGGCGCAGTGTTATCTGTAATTTGCTTTGAAATAGATTAGCAATGAATAAATGGATGCATGAAAAAACCAGAAAGATGAGTGGACAGAGGGATGACTAAGTGTAGTTAATGTTGCAAAATGTTGACAAACTGTTGGATCTGGGCTGGGGCTCTATGAAAATTAATGCAGTACTCTTTCTACTTTTCTGTATGGTTGAAAGTTTTCCCAAGATAATGTTTAAAAACCATTACACATGATGCTCTCACAGAATCTAACCATAGGCACAGGTGGAGCAGACTATGGCTCATGGCACTCAGTCCCCACCCCACCTCCACAGGCAGATGGGGCCTATCTAGTCACCTGACCCCACCGTCCCCTTACCTCAATCAGTGCCCCCTTCTCCCTGTCCTCAGACCGTTTGGCACTGTCCAATTCATCGTGCATTTCTGAGAGCTGGTCCTGGAGATCCCTGATCTCAGTCTGGTGCTGTTCCCGTTCCATCTTCACCTGAAACAGCCTGACAAGAAAGGAAGCCCATCAGACAGACTCTCCCAGGCTCTGCTTATTTTCATCCAGTCTGATTTCAGACCTTCAAATGCTCAAGCAGGGTCATCTAAAGCCCCAAGGAGCCTCCCATTCTCTGCTCTCCCCCAGTACTGTGGCACAGAAGTCAGCAAATTATGGCCCATAGGCCAATCTGGCCCACTGCCTATTTTTGTAAATAAAGTTTTATTGGAATACTGCCATGCTCATTCCTTTATGTATTGCTTACGGTCATTTGCACAATACAATGGCAGAATTGAGTGGTTCCAACAAAGACCATATGGCCCATAAACTGTAAAGTATTTATTATCTGACAAAAGTTTGCCAACCTCTGCACTAAATCAAATTCACAACTATTCTACCTTTTCATCCTATAAAGTATTTACTACACTCTAAATTTTCTGATTATTTTCTTACCAACTTCTTTTCTAAAATTAACCTCTAAGAATGTCTTAAGAGCAAAAGTTATACCATCAAAATTGCCAAAGCAATTTAATGCTTTTATTATATAATGTCCTATTTTTCTTGAATTTCTCTCTAAATTTCACTCCTGCTTGAACCTTCACTTAAAGTTTCCATCATGCCCACGGGCTTCATAGCGCTGCACCTTTTCAGACCTTAGTTTCAGATCTTTTTTTCACACAATGACAGGGCCACCTGTCATTGGGCGTGACTTTCCATCTCTGTAGACTCAACAGAAGTATAAGCACAGGTCACAGAGACCAGCACCATCCAGGATAAAATTCACAAACTGGGAGGTTATGGAGATCTTGTGACAAGTACTTTTTTGAGGCTGGGCCCAGGCTCCCTGAAATCTCAGTCTTCAGATATCACCACTCAGTGTTCCCTGCTGCTCACTGACCTGTTTAGAGATCTACTCTAAGGGCTAAAATTTTACAAGACATTCTTTAAGGTGTACAAAGAATTTTAAAATTATTAACCTTTCTGCTTACCAGGGAGAAAAGGAAGAGTCAGCAACTGCTATAAATATCTGGAAGACCAGGTAAGTACTAAATGGACAAAAAGGTTCTGGCCACATTGATGAAGAACTCGGGAAGGACACAGGCTCTTGGCCCAAACTTACTCTTCCAGGTTCTTCCGGAGCTCCCCTTCACTTTCTTCCAGTCGCTGCTGCAGTGTGGAGTTCTCTTTCACCTTACTGTCGTGTTGGCTCTGGAGCTCTTCTAAGTTTGCTTTCATTCTATCCCTCTCTTCTTTGATGTTCTGCTGATTCTAATATGAATACATGCGATTTTAAAGCACCTCCATCATACATTAATGTTATGCCACAGAAGCCTACTTCTAAACTCTGATAGATTCCATGTCTTTGCACTTCATTATTAATTATTAATTACATTATTAATTATTAATCAAACTATATAATTAAGGCATAGGAGTTTGTAAGTAGGAATAATAATACATATTTAATAAGTTGTAATTCTTCAAAAGAGAAAACACAGCTATACCTCATTGTGCTATTTCTATTACTCAGTTCCGATATCTTACATGCATTTAGCTTCCTACTGGCTTGCTTGAATCCAACAGCATTTCTTCTATTCTGTCAAAGCAAACAGTATCTATATGCTTTGGTTACTTTTTAAAAAAAATGTTCTTTGGACAATAGGAGCCAAATATACAGGAATTTACTTCTGTGATGAGAGGAATGTTTCTTTCGGGGGAGAAAAAAATTGACTTTCAATTCACTTGGGCACCCAAGGCACTTAAAATATTATTTTCAATCAAGACAGAAATGAAAAAAATAACATAGGAAAAATCATATACCTTGACTTCTAGTTGAAGCTGTCTCTGAAGTTCAGCCACTTCTGTGGTCAACTTGTTTTTCTGTTCTAATAGATCTTTGACTTCAGATGAAGAATGAGAAGCCTACAATTAATTGCAAAGATATACCAATTGAAAGGTTCAAGGTGATTTATTTTAATTCTCTTTAAATATAGAGAATTATAATCAGAGCAGTAACACTAAAATCTTAAGACCCAATTCCAATGTCGATCCCTAAGGAGAAGGGGAGCGAGGAAACCTTCTGGGGTGATGGGAGTGCCCTGTATCTTGATCTGGATGGTGTTTGCACAGACGCATACCTACATTTAAAAAATAAATCAGTGAACTATGCAGTTAAGATTTGTGCAACTTACTGTAAGTTATACCCCAATAAAACAATGTAAAAAGATAAAAAAAATTTTTATGAAGATTCATCCATTGCATAAAGTAATACCCAAAGCCCATGTCTTTGTGTTCCCAAGGCCTTTGGATAAAAATCTATTACAGGTTTTTCATTAGATTGGAAATTATTGCTCCATAACCATCAATGAGATTTTTATCCCTCACTCTCTGCATATGTCTGTATGCAAGCAGTAAATAAATATATGCTGGCTAAATTGGCTTTCTTCTTTTAGATGTCACATTTTCATAACAGAGAGAGATAGAATGAAAAGGGATCTGATTAAAGGAGTCCATTAGGAAACATCTCTGATCTGAGCATGAATATTAATGGATCTCATTTTTTTTCTTCCATGGATGTAACAGGATGATGTTCTCAAAAAGATCTGGCTAAAATGCTATAGCAAAGTGGTTAGAAAACTACAAATGGGAGAGGGGAATGAAAGCAGGGCTCAAAGCTAGAACAGGCAGTGACTTGGCCCTCAAACCTGGAATGGAGTATTTCCTCACCTACTCCTGCGAAGTTAACTAGAACCCCCAGTCAACAAAAACACAGGACTTCCAACTCTCTGAGATAAAATGAGAACAATCCACTTTAGAAATCCAAACCCAACCCATGAGGGAACCTGTACACTGCTCTTTCCCAAACAAAAACCCTCCCTGCTTTGCAGTTTCCCAATGTCTCCGTCCACATAGGGGAGGGTTCTTACATTCTCTCACAGAAAATCACTTAACTGACACCAAAGAGATACAACTCCAACAGCTGTGCCAGCAAATAATCAGATTCAGAAAATAAAAGGGAGATAAAGGGAGTAGGAAAACATGGGCACTTAAGCAGTCACGCCACTGTGATAGGAGCCAGAAGCCTAAGAGCCTCAGTTCCTCTTCTCACCATCTCGCTCTCGATTCAGCAGCGCTTCTTAACTGGTTCCCCTTCCTCTAATCTCACCTCTCTCAAAAAGCTACAAAAGGGATGAAATTTTTTTTTCACTATGACACTATTCATCCCTGTTCAAAGTCCATCAATGATAGCCCTTCACCTTCAGCCTGAAATGGAAACTTCTTATGTAATCTCTGAGGTCTTTCCCACCTGGTGCTTCGTCCCCATGTGCTCTCTGCTCTGGCTACACAAAATTACATCCATCCCCTAAATATGGCAAGCATGTGCCTCTTTACATTTATATTTGCTTGTGTCATTCCCTCTACCTACGACGCCCTGCCTTCCCTTCTTTCAATCCTGTAATCTTTTGAGACACGGCAGAAGGGCTACCCTAACTTCCTAGTCTGTGACTCACAATGACAATCTTAACATCAAAACCAAAGGATGTAAAAAAAAAAGAGAGAGAGACCAGAGAATGAGTACAAATTCATAACATGTAAAACATGATCTTCCATCTCAGATCTTGCTCACTACTCAGGAAACTTCCCAATTGGTGCTATCCCTCATTGTACAGACTGAAGAATCAGCAATTTGCCTGCCACACCCCATGTTAAATGCCCTCTGCAAGATACAACACTTCAACTTACTTGATTATTTCCTTGCGTGCTTCCTGCTGCTCGAGACTTTAAAGTCTGGATTTTCTCAAAGACCAGATTGACTTTCCTTTTTGTAGCATCATCATTATCGGTACTTCTGGAAAAGAGACAAATAAAAAACAATGAGGGGCACCCATTGTTCTCAGAATAGTTTATGTGCTGTGACACACAAAGGAGCCCTTTAAAGAGACAAATTCTAAGAGGCAGGATTTTTTTTTGCAAAAAAAATTGCAAAACCAGTGTGAGAAGAGCAGGATGGATGGTGTATTTTTTCATCAAATAAATTGTTCTGTATTATCACTCAATTTGAGACAGGGGTTCCCACTTTCAAACATGTGAAAGAGACATAGCAATGTTCAAAATAAGCCTGCAGAAAACATCCAGTGAAAATTTAGTAATTTGTTGTTTGACTCAAAGGAATTATATTCATTCCAACAAGGGATTTCTCCTCTGTGTGTGTCTCACTCACACATACATTTTTACTTTTAAATCGTATGATTAAGAATGATCTGCAGTGATCTTAACTTGCTTAGCCTATGCCTAAAAAAATAAATCCCCCAAGCCTAGACTGTCAACACAGCAGCCCTTTGTCTAGACTTTCACAGGTAATGATTGGCTAAAGTCTTATTAACTTCAACCACAATTTCTATCGCACATACCTGACAATTAGGGGGGGAAAAGGTTTTTTAATAAGTTTCTCAAATCATGAACTAAAAAAATAAAAGAATTTAGAGAATTTTAAAAATCAAAAGTTCTTCTACCTTAACCTAAATACAGTAAAACCCTTTAAAGAGAGACATTAATAACTAGTTCTTGGCTAGAAGAATAGAAGAATCTCTTTGGTTACTGTTGTTTTTATTTCCAAAAAAAGCCCTTACCTTATATTTTGAATCTGACTATGCTGTCAGCCTATATTACTGACAAATAATTGTAAGACGCCATACCAAAAATGTGCAGTGTTTTGATACCAATGAGTATTTGCCACCTGACTTCCAGGCAGGTCAGTCTGTAACGCTTTTTTTTTCTTTTTAATCACATCTGATGAGAGAACTGAAACAGAAACTTCCAATTCCTGACCTAGAATTCCAGCACAATTAGTAAGTATCTCAGTAAGGACTGAAAACTAGATTACAGAACTCAACCTCCAAGATAAGTAGGTGGAAAGCACTGCTTTTAAATGACTCATACGTGCTTTTAAAATAATGGAAGCAGGGGCTCCTGGCCAGTGTCAACTCTAGGGAAGGAAGGAGGCGTTTTTATCTGTAACTTCTAATAAGGTTGATAGAGTACTATTGTGCGCATGGAAGGAACTCAAGATGATGGCAGACTTCATTCAAAACTGAGTAAGACATTCTGCCTATCTTTTGTTTTTAGTAACAAATTCAGTAGAGCCATTTTAAAAAATATATTCATTTTTAATTTTGAAAGTAGTATGTCCTTCCCTACACTCCCCTCCTCTGCTCTTCACTCCCCACCACCCAAGATTTAAATGCTGCTGAGAAAATTCCAGCCATTAAATCTTTTTTTTAAAGGTATCTAATTTTTTTTTTTAATATATCTTTATTGATTTCAGAGAGAGGAAGGGAGAGAGAGAGAGATAGAAACATCAATGATGAGAGAGTATTCATTGATCAGCTGCCTCCTGCACACCCCCAACTGGGGATAGAGCCCGCAACCCAGGCATATGTCCTGACCAGGAATCGAACTGCAATCTCGATCCTAGGTCGAGATTGGATCCTAGGTCGATGCTCAACCACTGAGCCACGTCAGGCCAGGCCAGCCACTGAATCTTTAAGCTCAAATGGCTCACACAGGGCAGCAAGGGAAGGCAAAACACAAGGTCTCAGAAAAGGAAATTAAGAACCCCACAAGAAATGACAATATTTTGGTCCTTTAAGGAAAAGCACTAACCCTTCTTTGAGGTAATTGTAGAGGATCTGCTTGGCCGTCTCCTCGTTGGTTTGCTGAGTGAGCTCCTGCTGGCCTTTTAACAGATCCGGCGTGGCCTGGAACAGAACATGGTCATCAGATCACAGGATGGTATTTCCAGGAAGGGGGAGAAACCCAGAAGCAGAAACTTCCAAACACATTTCTACTTTCCAAAAACANAGAACATGGTCATCAGATCACAGGATGGTATTTCCAGGAAGGGGGAGAAACCCAGAAGCATAAACTTCCAAACACATTCCTACTTTCCAAAAACGACTCCTCAGGTAAGGATCCTCATTACAGCTGGCTCTACCACTTAGTACGTAGCTCTGTAACCCTGGGCTAAAAGTTACTTAACTTTTCCTCACCTTAATTTTCTCCCCTGTAAATTGAGGTTAATAATACCTACCTTCAGAGGGTTGGTGCCCATCCTATAATATATAACAAATAGTTCCTGACACTTACTAACTTTATTATGTTTATCATTATCATTAATTTTTTATTGTGTCTACCAAAACAGTAAATGTACCACTTAAATAAATTCCATCACTTTAAAGTTAACCTTAAATTACGATTAACCTACTTTCTCAGGCCAGAAATTAACCCAGTCACTCAATTTCATGAGGAAAATTAATATATCTACACAAACCTAAGCACTGAACCTCTGTGTGGAAACAAGTTCTACATACTTCCTAATTTCCCATCTCTACAAAAAGTCGAATTTTTCTATAGTGTTTGACAAGTTACTTTACAGACAAGACCCCAGTGGAAATCTAGTTTTACTTGAATTAACTTAGAAAACCACACGATTGGCAGTAGGGCGTATTTGTAGAAAAAAATCTTAAAAAAAAAAAAAATCAACGTGCGCCCTGGCCGGTGTGGCTCAGTTTGTTGACCGCCCTGTGCACTGAGAGCCTGCGGGTCGGATTCCCTATCAGGGCACCCGCCCGGGCTGCGGGCTAGATCCCCAGTCGAGGGCGTGCGGGAGAGGCAGCCCGTCGGCGTTTCGTTATCACATCGATGTTCCTCTCTCTCTCTCTCTCCCCCTCTCTTTCTCGCTCTAAAAAATCAATAAAATCTCTTTTAAAAAATCGATGCAGAATATGTATCTCTGTCGCCTCCTGTAGCATGGGGCTGCAGGATTTAGAAGGGGAAGAAAAAGACACGCCGGTGTTACCTGAGTATTTGAGGGGGAAGCGAATGTCTTCACAGAAATCTTCTTGGCTCCGGGGTCCGGCGAAGCCGCCTGCCCCCGGGTCTGCAGCATCAGCGTGGCGGTGGCTGTTTTAACTTCCTCCTCCCTCTTATTCGGTGCCGGGAGGGAGGGCGCACGGGCGGCTGTGCTTTCCTGCCCACCTCTGCTTTCTAGCACTTTCGGGTCTTTGCCCTGCGGGGGAGGCCTGGGGTGGGCTGCCTGCGGCCTGGCGGGGGCGCGGCCAGGGCTCGGTCTCCCGCGGTGCTCGTGGGCCTGGGGCCGCTGAGGGCACACCTGCGAGGGGCGCAGGAGGTGCTCGCTGGACTTGCCCAAGTTCCTGCTGAACTCGGTCAGGTACTCGGCGCTTCCCTGGAGGCCAAAGGGAAAGGCACTGTCCACGCTTCTGGACCTCTTCCTGTCTTCTGGGTTGATTCTGTTTCGCCTCCCAGACCTTCCCCTTCTCTGCAGCCCAGATTTTTGGTCAAATTTTTCAATGAGCTGATCCACGCCAGGAATTGATCCCGTATCAATATCCCGCCCAGTTCCTGGCAAGAAGGGGATGTACCTTCTGTTCTCATGACGATTCACGTTGTCAGCATGGATGGCACATTCTTGATCATCTAGTAAAAATCTGTACAAGGAGTTGGCCGAAGTGGGCGTTGTCGACGACGACGAGGATCTCCGAGAGCGGGCCCCATCCAGGATGGCACCCGCCGAATCTTGTCGCCGGAAGGGAAGCACGTCGGGCCTGGTTTTCTTGGCTTCGAAGTGGGCATGGGCGCCGTGGGTGGGTAGGGGCCTCCCGCTAGGGGAAAGCACCTCCTCTGCCGGCCCGTGCTTGGTGCAGCTCTGCACATTCACACACACTGAGGTCTGCTTCTTGGGGTCATCGATGACCACCGAGCTGCATAAACGAATGGCCGTCACGTTGGATCTGGCCACGTCTTCCGAAGGAGGGCTGGTAGGCTGGGAACTACTAGGTTTGGGAAAGCAAGTCCAACCCTTCTTGTTGTTGGTACCTTCTTCTGTTAAGGTTTTTAGCCAGTTGCTCTGAGGAGGTTGGTGATTTTGTAAGTTCAACTCATTCTTCTCAGGGTCATAGGGCTGCAAAAGCTCTGGATGCCGCTGAAAGTTCAGCACATGGGATGGCTTCCCTGGCCCCTCTTTGCTTTCCAGAACTCCATTCTTACCCTCAAAGACAGAGGGTTGCTTCAGGGTTCTTCCTGAGCTGGGTTGGGCATACGGGTTTTCTGGAAACGGTTCTTCTGCACTGTCGTCCTCTAGGCCAGCCCCGTTGCTGGGATGCACAGGCAGGTTATTTATCATTGGAGATGGAAATGATGGCCCGTTTTCAGAAAAAGGTGTGCCTGGCAGACAGTGCTCTGTGTTATTCAGGACTATGTAGGGGTGCCCATCGATTCCCTGCACCCGAATACTGACACCATAGGAGCCTGCCTTAGAGTGCTGGGAATTCCTTGACTTTTTGGTTTCATCGCTTGCGAGTCTCAGGTGGACGCCGTATTCCTGCTGCACGTGTTGATATTCACCGAAGTACAGCTCCATGGTTCACTGTTCCCGCTATCAGGGAGAGAGAGGGTAAAAGAGGACATTAAGTTAAAATTACATCTGTTTAAATGAAGATTATGTGGGGAAACTTCAAAGTTCAAAGAAAACAAAACACTTTAAACAGCAAGAAAACTTTCAGAACCAATGCTTGTCCAAGCAGGCCTTTCTGGATGCCCCTGGGCCCACGTGACCATGGTGCTTGTCATCACCGGGCTTTAACCCTGGCCTTGGGGCGGATGACTGGCGTAATGATCTGAAGCCTCTGGCATAACTTCATGATTCTGTTTCTAGCTGGCGGGCCGTTCTGGTTGCTTCATTTTTTTTCCTTAACTGGTTTACTCACACTTCATGCTATTTATTTTTAACCAATAGGGACATTCCAGTTACCAGGATTTGAGAACAAGGTACTTTTCCATAAAATCAATTAAGAGCTATGGTGTTCTAATGCTCACCACTTTTCTTTCTTCCAATACCGTTAGTTTTTCTGTCAAAACAATCCTCTCAGCCTTTTTTATACATAATCCTACTTTGAAATCTTTATCACTATTTGGATATACTGTTTGAAACATTCTTACTGCAAGGAATCCGTAGTTTGTGAGGCCAACAGTGAGAGTAAATGATTAAAAACAATTTTCAATCATTTTTTCTTACTAAAAAAGATCAAGTAATATATAAATCTGAAAAATGTTATTAAAAAAACTGAAGACGCAGAGCTCTTTATTTTGTGATAGGTCCTAATGCCAAGAATCACTGCCTTCACCTTTCTGGTGTGTAGCCACCCTTGTCAGAGACTGCACCCAGATCACCAGCCGTGCCACACTCAGAGATTCTCTCATCAGAAATTCACTTCTAATACACTGAAAAATTCCAACAGCAAAGGAGATGCAGGAAGAGCAGGAAGAACTGGTCTCAGATCAAGGCTGTCTCATTTCTTTCACTGTTACCAGCCTTTTTGAGTTTCTATACTGGACTCAACCTGGCAGCATATTTTCCAAGAAAACCATCAATTTGATCCACATTTTCAAATCTATTTGCACAGAGTTTTGCAAAGTATAAATCATTTCATCTCTATATCTGTTTCTCGTGATCTAGTTTTGTTTGTGCTTTCTTCACCTATTCCTTGATTACACAGGTAAAAATATCTATCTATATATATTTTTAAATATATCTTTATTGATTTCATAGAGAGGAAAGGAGAGGGATAGAGAGACAGAAACATCAATGATGAGAGAGTCATTGATCGGCTGCCTCCTGCATGCCCCCAACTAGGGATCGAGCCTACAACCCGGGCATGTGCCCTGACCGGGAATCGAACCCTGATTGTCTAGATCCTGGGTTGATGCTCAACCACTGAGCCACGCCCAGCCGGGCTCTATATATTTTTTAAATTGTTGTTTCCCCTAAAGAACTAGCTCTTTAGATTTATCCTTTCTCTTTTTCATTAATTTATTGAGTTACAGTTTGAGCATCATTATTTCCTTCTGCTTTCCTGTATTTTGTTGCTTTTGTTTCCAATTTCTTGACTTGTGTCCTTCATTTGTTTATTTTCAGCCTTTAATTATATTCCAAAAATTGTGATATGTGACTGTGTCAGTTAGGAATTTTGTTGGTTCCTACTAACAAAGAGACCCAAAATAGCAACTCAAAAGAGTTAGGATTTTCTTCTCCTGAGAGGTAGGAAGTCCAAGGCTGGAATGAATGGATCCCAGGATAATTTTGAGGAACGCCTCTTTTATCCTTCTACTCATCTACCTTCATTAAGTATTAGACACCTATGATTATAAGACAGCCGATCAGTATCACATATGTTAAAGGCTTATTAGACAGCTGAGTCAACTTTCTAAGGAGCTTTCCAGGAAACCCCGCCCACCAATAATCCCTTGCATCTCATTGGTGAGACGTTAATCATATTGACCACTCCCAGCTCCACAGACTGAAAGGAGGGCTGTGAAACAGGGTTTTGAGCTGGTCTATGGCACTCAACAAAATCAATGTTCTGTTAGTAAAAACAGAAAAGAGAATGAAAAGCAGCTTTCCACCATAGTAATGTTTCTATTAGTATTTTCTAGATGGTTTCAATTTGTGGTTTTGATTTCTTCTTGGACACAAGAGTTGTTCTGAGGCAAGTTTTTTCATATCCAGTATGTCTGTTGTGTTGTTTTGGCTTGGAGGGTCTTTATTTCTATATGTTGTGCATTTCTACTTGCCCTATAGTCAGAAAATATAGTTTATTATCTCTTCCTTTTAAAATGTATTAAAGTTTCCTTTGTGGGCACACATGTGGATCATTTTTGCCAATGTCTAGTGGGTGCTGGGTGTAGTCTCTTTTTTCAGGCATGGCATTCAAAATATATCCATTAATACAACCTCACCAATTATTTAGTTCAGCTATGCACATCCTTACTTATTTTGTCTTTCTGATTTATCTTGGGTCTTCCTGGATACATGTGTCTCCTGCTACTAGCATGATGCTGTCAGTTTTGCTTGGTGATTATGCTTTTAAATATAAACCATGTTAAAGACCATCACCTATTTTATAGATAGAAACGACTTCGAAAGGTATCTTCACCTGCAGAATTCAGCATTATCTCACAAATTCCAATTATTTCATTATATCCACTTTCGTTTTCACCCATTATACTAACATTTTTAAATAATTTTATTTTTAATCAAAGTAAAATGAAATATAATGAAAACCTGTACTCTCCAGCTTCCCTTCCCCCATCTCAACCACATTCCCCAGAGAAAGCCAATTGCAAAATACAGCTATTGATTCCAGCACTTACCTCCATGTTGCTAGGTAATGTGCCTATTTCTTAATTTATCAGTTTTACATGTGGTAAATAACACAGCATACATATGAATTTCTCATTCTGCTAGCCTCCCAATAATGAAATCAAGAGCCAACTCTTTATGTTATCATGACTACATAATTACTGTTCACCGAAGACCCAAACTGTGGAGTCTGGTCATGTTTTCTTTCTTATAAAACTTGAACTTTTCTAGACCTAATAGCTGACTGCTATTTTTACTTGTCTTGTTTTCTATATACCTATCCTTAAATCCTTTCATCAGCGGCATCACAACTGTTAGATACTTACTAGTCTTTAGTTCTAAGAAATGTTCTTATATTATTTCTGTGATAATGTTCAGAGAACCATTTTATTTTGTTTTTGAGTTTTGCATCTACAATATTAGTAATGTTGAATCTTTTAGACTGAATTTCAATTTTTTGCATTTCTTTCTCATCTGCTTTTCAACTCCATTTTTTGTTCTACTTTTGGAGAAATATATCTTCACCTTTTTTTTTCATTCAAGTATTTAATTTGTTATTTCCACTACCTCTTTCTTGTTCTCCACGTCTCTTTCAGAAGTGCTGTTCTCATTTTAGACATGAAATAGCTTCTCTCTTTCTGCTATAAATTTTTTCAAAAATACATTTTCTCTGCTGTCTGCACCATCTCCATTTTCTACACAGTTTCTCTTTTCTGATTTGTTTTGGTCCATGTCTTTCGTGTTGAGGCCTCCCTAATATGACTCAGATCCTTAGCCGCTGATCCTATGTAAGAACAAAGTACTAAAAGCAGTTAGAGGCTCTACATGCATGGAGGAGTTATTCGCTGGTGAGCTTCAAGTAATGTAGGAAAAAAGGTGCCAAGCTTTCCACTGAGGGACCCAGACATTTCAGTATTTGGTGGCACTTTTATCAGAGCTGTTCGATTTGTCAAGAAAAGAAGCTTCGAATCCCTTGTTAGGGTTACATAGGCCTGGCTGCTGGCATAATGGAACAGGGCAGGGGACAAGCATGGAGGGCCCAGCTCTCATTCAGTCCCCTGTTTTCAGTCACCCACACCCCCTTCCAACATTATTCCAGTTCAGTTTCTCCAGAGAATAGACCTCCAGTCTGCTCTGGGGTGGGGAGGAAGCAGGGGCAGGTGGTACCCAGATATCCAGGGTACAGAGGAGGCCCTGCTCCAGTTCTCATGGCTCTTAACTCCCTGGATGTTGGCAGGGGAACCACCTCATTTCTACACTGCCGGCACTTTAGGTTGAAGCATCGATCACTCCACTGATGCAATTATCACTCCTCCACTTGCTTTGGAGCTCTCCTCTGCTACGTCTCCGCTGCCATTCTTGGTCTTTGTAGGTTTGATTTTTATTCCTTTACTACCCTTTGAGTGGGATTTTGAAAAGGAGAGATCTAACACCTAGCTTGGCGAGGCCAGTAGTACGTGTAACATGCGTCCTTACTAGAGCAAGAACAGCTGGCGTGCCTCAGGCGATGAAGCAGTGCGTGACGGCCCAAACCAAGGACGGGTGGGTCCCGACCCCCCATGTCCAGGCACGTTCCATGTTTTACTCTGGACCTCCAGTGTAAAGTTTACAAAAAAATATTCTTTAACAGAAGAGCTTCTGTGCAAACAAGTTTATTCACCGTGATGCCTTTTTTTTTTTTTTAAATGATATTTACTAAATGAGGTCATTTTACTCACCAGTAATCTCTTCTTATGCTCGCTTTGGCTTTTCTATAAAAGTATTTCTTCTATTATTTATTAATAAAATTCTTTTCTAAAGTGTTACAGTCCTTTTCATTAGCTGCAGCTACTACAGTCAACACTAATTACATTTCAATCTTTGAATAAGGTCAGTGTGGTTTATTGCAATCTTAGCTCCCTGTTAGCAAATTAATCCGCATATTTGAATTTCATGAAATGTCCACAATTTACATTTCCTTGACGACAAACCCCAATCCAACATTTTCACGGTATGACATTTCTCAGTTGGGTACTGGTGTCTTAAGCAAACGTGGATTTCCTTCCTAATCACAGTGTAAACACTGAGCTCATGAATGAATGTAAGGACAGCTGTTCTCCGTTTTCAGACACAAGGTCACCTCACCATCTTAACACACTCCACAGACACACTTGCTCAGCCGGGGACGAAGCCCAACCAAGGCCTTACATAATTTGGCAGTACATGCTGACCAACTGCCAGGAGGTTAACACTGTGGC